CAGAGAAAAAGCAGCCTTTACCAGATCTTAAGGAAAGGTCAGCAGGGACTGAGGTGAGTTAATTCCAACTCGTAGTGTCAGAAATGAAACAGCAAATAAGGCTACTTCTCACCTGGGCTTCCCATGTGCCCCTTCCCCAGCCCCTCCCCTCCAAATTGGGCAGAAACAGAGCTCTCTGGCCTGTCATCTCTGACCTCACACTAGTCAGCAGATGGACCAGTGTCTGACTGGGATGTGAAAAAGCAGTTAATTAACCCACTCAAAAGGCACAGATTGCCTTCATATGCTTTGATTCTACCATCTCCAAGTCTTCTGAGACCAGCTGCAGGTGTGTGCATGAATCCATGCAGCTTCATAAAAAAACCTGATAAAACAAGCTCTGTATTTTTTGATCTAGCCAGCATGTGTTTTACACACATCTGTATAATAGTATGTAAAATTTATAGACGTACAAAGATAGCCGTGCAATAGGAGGTATATGTTTGTGTATATTTGTGCAACTTCTGCTTGTTTTACTGTATTTTTAGTCTGACAAGTATCAGAATTTGTCAAAAATTTTATTTCATGAAATTGATTTTTTTTTCACCCCAGGATTTCATCAGGAAACAGAAGGCAAATATCTAACTCTAGTTAAAGCACCATCATACAAACCAGGCTACTCCCATTTTTCTGCCAGATGATTAAGGTTGTCTTGTTCTTGTTGTTAAGCTATTGGTACCTTTTAAAACCAGTGCAGAAACAGTATGTATCTAGTATTAAAAAAAAAAAAAAACTATTCTCTGCAAAGAAAATTTGCCCCCCCAGAAAAAAAAGAAGTCAGAGCTGAGGATTTCTTTTTTCTTTTTTAGTGCTTAGTTCCCTTGCCTTCAGTTAGATTCCTGGATTTTTTTTTTTTGAAATGAAACAGCTAAGAGGTTTTATTGTCACTTTCAGTAAGCGTACACAAATTGGTATAGATATACTTCAACTAAGTCAAGCCAGCATCTGTGAATTAGGGGAAGAAGGGCTTTTTCTGCCTTTAGCTCAATGCCTTTTCTCACATTCCAAATAACCTTAAGTATAAAAATGTCTATTCCAGAATATTAGGAGCAGTTCTACCCTTTGAAGTGAGTGCATCTCACCAGACCTTACACCCAGCAACCTCTGTAAAAGGCTTTCTGTTTTTCCTGTTCTAGAGAACATGGATGGTGACATGCACCAAACCATACAGAAGAGGACATGTCCTGGCCCGGCCTTCTGGGATTCTCTACCAGGTAAAAACC